AATACGTTACGCTATAACATGTCTGGAGATCAGGAACAGTGTGGAACTTAGTAGCGTGCCCTGGTGCGGGTAGTGCCTCGCTGGGAGAATTAGCTGGAGGGGGAAATCCTCCTGCAATCCGACGTGTAGATTGGCGCCGGATCTCACCTAGTAACCAGGCAGGAACGCAAACATCATGAGGGAAAAAACATGTTCGACAGCTATGTGACCATTACTTCTAAGCTGTCCGGGTCACGCCGCGTCGTTGGCAGATAGGCCGACGTTTCGCCTGTCATATCGCAGACTTCTTCAGGGTAGTGACCTGACTTCTTGGCTGTCTGGGTGACACCGCGTCGTTGGCAGAGAGGCCGGCATTTCGCCTGTCATATCGCAGGATTCTTCAGGGTAGTGACACAGTAAAACTCCGCCTCCGGTGTTGTATCTTTTTTCAGCCTAGGGGCTCGGGTAACGCAAGTGCGCCATGATTGGCGGAGAGGTCCCTCTGATTGGCTCGCGGTCTGAGCCAACCCGGGCTTCGCACCAGCCGTCCTAGAGATCGGACGGTGTTGAACAGTCCCCGCGCAGTCAGGAATTGGTGGAAGAATATTCTTCCAGGCGTGGTTTAGATTAAGGCCAACGACGCGGCGTCACCCGGACAGCTTAGAAGTACTGAACGCGAGCCGCGGAAGCCTACGTGTACAGCTATGTGACCAGTTGGCGCGCCCTGAAGCCCAAAATAATAACAATCGGTACATGAGAGCACCCGTTTGCGCAGGAAGTACCCAGCCATCAGCGCCACCATCGACGGGCAGCGCGTGAGCTGCCGCAAGAGCGACCAGTGCGCGTGCCACATCGAGCCCTACCGCATCTACTGCGACTGCGCCCCGGACCCCTCCTGCTGCGGCTGCTGCTGCTGCTTCCTGGGCTAGCCCCGCCTCCGCCACAGGTACCAGCGCACAGCGCACAGCGCACAGGGCATGGCGAAAGATACGAGGGGGGAACGCAGCGCAGGGCTCACGTTTGGTACTACCAAAGACTGGAATATAGTACTAGACCTACCCTCCTGCCTTTCGGAGCGCTGCAAATTGAACACTGCGCGGTCCGCCATGTTGATGGCAAGTGTGTGAAGTGAATAGCCGAAGCCCATTTGCGTTTACGAGCGTTTATTTTATAATATAAAGTTTTTAGTGAAATATTATGGTCAGTTGCCGTACAGCATTCGATTGTACGAATCGAAATTCGTAAGTTTGTATGTTAAAATCAAGCTTTACCACTTTACAGAATGTCACAACAGTTAATTATATAAAAAATTAATAAGACAGCATAGCAAAAAGTCAATAACCTTCATGAACCAATAAATAAAATTATATTTCTCAACAGTCACTTTTATTACAACCCTGTCAAATTTCCCTAAATTCTTTCAAAAGAAAAAGTTCACTATAATTATTAAATATTATTGGTTAGAATGTTTGTAATAATTTATTTTCCATATTCAAGACTTCGTTTCTTCAATTTTGTCCTGAAGTGTTATACTAATAGGTTAATTGATACTTATTAGTGTCCAATTTTCCTTCTAAATCTTGTGTATAATCAAGTTATTGTGCTTTTAGAAAAAATTGTAAACAAAGATTGTCTTCCTGTCCATCATACTTCATTATGAAAGGTTCATGTCCCAGTAAACGTTTATATAAACAAAACCCAATATAATTTGTTTATAACAAGCTGTTTTGCAGTTGAGATTAGCCATAAAATGTTCTGTATGAAACAAGAAAATGTATTTTCTGAACTTTGTGAAGGAATGTCATTGATACGAAGAATAAAAAAATACGCTTTATTACGAATATTTTCTTATTGATGCATCTAACTGAATGTTTATACATGATTTTATTTTCGAAACGCCGTAATTGTATGCTCAGCTCAGGTGCTTTTGCCATCATCATGGCGGACGGCGCAACGTTCAATTTTTGTTGCGCGTTGGACCTCCTTGACATTGGTGTGTGGGGCCTTGCGTGTTACTCGCGCAACTTGAACGATGACCTTGCTTCCCCCTCTCCGATATAATATACAATTGAAGACAAAAGCTTGCAGCGTGCACTGATGACAACATTCCAAACACATATTCACTGGCGCGAAATAGAAACTATTTTCTTTTGAAAACGAGAACTTCTAACGGTTATTTTCTCTAAAAATCTAAAGAAATGAAGCAGGTACGATCTATCACAGGAGATACCTCGAACTCCTGAGAAAATTAGAACGCAAATTATTGTGAAAGTCGCGAAGGCATGACTGATTCTCCAGAGATTGGTATTGCGTCATAAAATCTAGTGGCCGATTTCGTAACTAATACCCCCACTCTACTCGCTTTTCTTCAATCCATCGTTCGAGAAAAGTTGCGCGAGTAATATCCTGCGGAATCTGGGTTCAACACTCCACCTTCACTGGATATTCTTACGTGGTCGTCTCCTATTCAGGGCGATTCTGAGTTCACTCACGTTCCTTTGCTAATATTTACTACAGTTCCGGCAGCGTACATGCGATTCTGACAGTTCTCTCGCCACGTTGCTGTGGTACGCCACGTGACCTACTGGGAAGCAATCAAATTGCGAGGATTTGTTTCCTTTCTCACAGCCACGGATCAGCGATGCCCCTCATCTGACTCACAACACGCGAAAGCGATAATGTTCGGCTGTAGAGAAAGTTATGAACACGATATCAAGGCGTGACATAGTGTCAGTGAGTGATAATGTTTTGAGATTCCATTGATCTACCATGTAGGTGGAGCCAAATTCCAAGTAATGTATGGCAACATCGCACATCGCATCGAACTGTCAGAGTCGCTTATACGCCCTAGGAAATACTGTAGCCCTATTCGCTTGAAATATTCAGGATATATGAGGATGAAGCAGCCTTTTATCAATATTTCCCTTCCATACTGCCCTCCTTACGAGAAAATGTAACATTATCATTCAACTGTTTTCATATTTCCTTCGTAACAACAATCCTTTCCATCCAGGTAAATTATGCATTGTATACCCAGCACCGTATCAAAGGTAATAACAAGCAACAATGTATCAGTAAAAAATAAACATGTCTGAAGAAGAGAAAACCCTTGTCATCTCCTTGCTTGTTCGAAACATCATAAAATATAATTTTGCGGTTTTAAAAGCTGTAAACATCGTAAAGTACAATTTTGCTGGAATAAAATTCCTGGTTCTCGAAAATTATAACAAAATACCGACAGTGAAGAATAATTTCGTGTTAATAGACACAGCGTGTTAACTGGAGTTCTAGCGCGCGCATACACACACGCAGACACAGAATCAGCGGAAACAGACAGCACAAAGCTCATAATATAGCACGAAATCAAATGGTTTCTTTTTGTTACATTACCAGCACTGTCTTTAGTACACATCTAAATATTCAAATGTTGATCTGCTATGTTCTGCTAATGTACTGTAATTCCGTACATAATGCTATAAAATATAAATAATAATTACGTATTTTTAGATAGGATAGCTAATTTAGGAATATCTGATAATATTACCAAAACTTGTAACCTGTTCAGAGCACGAATGTGCAAGAAATTAATAAGATATGCGTTTATTTATAAGAAAAGGATCAATTAATCGGAAGAAAAACTGATGTTCCGGCTTATTGGTTTGCTTATAGAGAGCAGCGTCAGCTTAACACCTTGCAGCCACCGCACGTCCTCTGTCAGGCCTCATCAGTTGACCTTCTCCATCCCTGCAACAGCTGCTTGACGGAATTCGAGCCAGCGAAAAAAGAATGATGCCTGACACGAAAGTACTTCCTAATTTCCACAAAAAATGAAAAAAAATATGAAAAATTTTAATAAAATTTGAAACTTTCCTAAAAGGTTGTGATTATTATTGATTGATGTGATTTGAAAAATGTCTTAGAATAGTAATAGAAATAACAACAAACAAATTACTATTACTTTCCACAGATGTATTTTCACACAGGGAGTTATATTTTCCGTTTGCACAGTATCAAGGCAAAGGACCAGTTCCTGTTACAGACGAATAATAGTACGTTATAAGCATTGTAAATGTAATTTTCTAACATGATTTTTTTTAAATTCTTTTTAACAATTGGAACAAATTAATCAAGCGATTCGAAATAAATGAGCATGACTAAAACAGAATGGTTTGATACGGATACATTATTTTTATTTTATGAGAAAATCGCAACTCTGTAGTAATTTCACGTAATATTTTTATATTTACACGAAGGTGATGTTTGTACAAGAAAAAATATACGAAAACCCATTAGTTTTGCCATGATATTGCACAAAAAAAACAGACGTGATACTAGCACACAACGAAGCAAAAAACCGGCGGAAGACATAAATGAAACGAGAGACGGCAACGCAAAAATAAAACTACTCTGAAAACAAACTTCGCCCTGCGAAAATTGGAGCGCAAGGTGGTCTGCAAGGATTAGCGCACTGACGGATGCTTCCTGAGCCCCAGGGATCAGAGGATGCGAGGGCTCTCGGATGAGGTACGTGGAGCGGCAGGATGAGACGCTACCCAATGAGAGGGCGTGCAACTAGAGATGAGAATGTCAGCAATTTACCTAACGTCATGCATCAGCATTCCGATGAAAACAAGGTATCCCTTTTATAGAGAGACGTAAAAATAAAATACTGCAAATTGTACGGGGGTAAGCAAGTCCATTAGATCAGTGACTGCCTCCATGCAAAGATGTGTTTAATATGAAAGAATAAGGGAATGAATATGGTCCATTCATATTATTCGTCTTTGAAACGCAGAGGATATCTGCAAATGTAACACTCCACTTTACAAAGTTCTGCGTTGGAGAAAATGACAGACTTATGAGGTTTTTGCAAATTGTAATGCGTTCGTACTGAGGATGTTTTATTGTATCTACTGAAGCAACGCTTCAATATTATGCACTTTTTACGAGATATCAACGGGTTAGGACAACTTGTAACCATTGTCTTCCTAGCAAATAACCGTCTTCTCTTCCTCTTCTTTTTACCTTGTTGTTTTGTTCCATTTTCTTCTTTAGAATATTAAATTTACACATATTTACATTATTATTTTTCTTCCCTTTCTACTACATATGTTTTTCCCTTCTGATATCGTTCTTCTCCTTTTATCTTCTGCTCCTCCTTCCAATCCCGGTTTGATATTAATGTGGTCGGCCTGGCAAATGCTGGGGACGATGAAACACGAAAACGTGTAAAACATTAACGCCCAGCGGGTTGCCTAGTTAACAAGTTGCAAACAACAGCGTTTCGCTGTAGTCAGCGTAAGATTAGTAGTTGCCGACGCCTGTGAATGGCACGCACTGTGCTTTCGATTCAATAATTGATCATTTCGTATTTCTGGCCTCGTCAATTGGTTATTAGTTACGTAAGTGTGGTGCATGTGTTTATCATGTGAGGGGTGTTCTTACCCCCACTGGATAGCGAGATTCGGCGCCGGCTTGCTGGTTTTGTTTCCATTCAGGTATTTCCCAGCACCGGCGCACAGATCCATCCAACTGGTCTCCAGACATAGGTGATAGTGTAGTACCTGATGATATGCGTGTAAGTAAATGTTGACGGTAGGACAAAGAAGGGGAAGGAAAACTCCGACTGCGTGGTCCCGTGGTCTGTTAGGGATTTGCCGTAGAATCTCCATCACCGAAAATGCTGCCACCATTGGCGCTCGAACCCCAGGACCTCCTGATCAGAGGCGCAGCACTCGGCTGGCGACATCATTCCATGCCCTGAGCCACCTCAACAGGCCTGACCGGTCGAAAGAGCGTGCAGAAAGGCACTCTTCAGCGCGGACAGCCCCATTCGATGGCGGAGGTGGAGGCAGAGGCCGGGGCAGTGGCGATGGCGGTGGCGGTGGCAGGCTCAGGGGCAGGGGCGTGAGGGGGAGGGGCGAT